GAAAGGTAATTTTCACGGGATCAGTCCAGTGCCTGGCCCATATTAGGCGCTCAATAAAATTTTGAGTAATGAATGGATATATAAATTATAGCATAAACCAGCCTAGCACTACCCTGAGGGAAATGTTTGGCAAAAAGGGGCTTTGCTTCCAACAGCACCGCTCTTCAGAGGCAACAGGGCCCACGGGTAAGAGCCTGAGCTCTGTCGCGGTGGCTCCGAGCTTACCGCTGGTTAACTTGCTCCACAGCAATGTTGAGGCGCTTTGCGATGTCTTCCACGGTCTCGCTGTTGGCAGAAATGATCCCCACACTCTTGGCAATAGCTTTGGCCGTGATTGGATGATCACCCGTAACCATAATGACCTAAAACACAGTGAGAAAGGCAGGTGGACACTGAGGAAGCCAGCTGACCGGAGTAGGGACCGGAGTAGGGTCACCTACTCCACCTTGAGCACGATTAGTGACAACTGTGGTCTGCCCTCATGGGCGGTTCTTGATCTCTAGGTCAAAGAAACAAGCTGTCCTTGAAGGACACACTGGTCCCACTCGATCTGTGCTTGCTCCTGAGCTTCTGACATTTCCTCTCCTGACAGTAAATGAAGCCCTTCCCTTCGACGTAACTTTATCGGTGCAAGGGCTGGCGGGTGTCTCCTCGGGCAGATTCATGTTGCTCCGACAGTCTTGGAGTCAACGTGGTGATGGAATTCACATGGATTCTGGAAGCTGCACCTCAAGATTAAGTAATAAAACCTTTTACTGTCTCTCAAGGTCTAGGTGAGATAGGGCCACCTCATGGCACAGGGAGACAGCTTTCTCCTCACAGCAGTTACTCTTGTGGTTTATACCACACAGACACATCGTTTTGCTTTCAGGGGACAGTTACTGGAAGTATAGTAAAAGTAGAAATTAAAAAAGGGGAATTGTGGTATTTGGTTGAAGACACCTAAATACTCTCTTGGGACAAATGTTCTCAGCAAGGGACACAACGTGAACGGAGGGCTTGCTGGGTCAGGAAGATTAACTCCACCTTGATCCCTGCACTCCGGCATTTGGTGACTGCATCAGGAACCGTGGACCGAGGCGGGTCAATCATGGATAGGAGGCCCACGAAACAGAAGTTGGAGGTAGGGAAGTTCATCGCGTCTGTATCAAACAAGTAGGTTTCTGGAAACTCATCTGCTGGCAGGTAGAGATGACAGAAACCTGAAGCAGGTATGAATTGGGGAGTCAATGAAACTAGGATAAGAGATGACAAAAGAAAGAAAACACATTTTCATACACTCTCAGGCCTTTATATTGAACCAATACTTTGGTGTTTACCAGGATTATTTAATTCCTTCAGTTCCATAACACACGTTGTTTCTTGGAAAGTCATACTTCATCCAAAAATACTTTACTGTGTGCCACTGGGGTCTCTGTTGTGTTCTGGAGGTAGACCAAGAGCGAACAGCCTTTACTTCTGCAGACGTCCCACTTCAGTGGGGAGACAGAGAGATGAGACCCGGGAAAGCCTTCACCAAGGAGGTCACATGAGCTGACTCTTGAGAAAGGAGTCAGACATTTTCCAGGGGAAGAAGGGAGGACCAGGGTGGGAAACGCTTTGGTTTTTGGCAGAGAAAGCAGCGTGTGCTCCTGCACAAACTAGGGAAAGAACCTGGGGCGTCAGGGGAACACTGTGACGTTCCTCCCGGAGAGGCGGGGAGAACCGCTGGACACTCAGAGGGCATCTGCCTCTCGCAGGTCAAGGGAGGAGGGATTCCTTTAGAATCCCTTAGTCGGGTGCGACACCCAAGGTTGCGTTACTTTCTCAACT